CTTGTTACTATCTTAGACACTAGTGACCAAAACCTGAACCCTTACAGTAAAGCAAGAAATATATTTAGAACAAACCTCAATTTCCATAATACATAAACATTTCAAAAATGTTTACATAAAAGTACTAAGTGTGTTGGGCCTTTCTTTCAGTGACAAACGATCAAACAAGTAGGGCAATACCTATATGTCAACAGTCATTTAGCAGCACAACCTACCTTCTAACCTATCACAATCTAATTTATCCAAACAATTTGTGCATTAGAAACACAAGAACAAAGCAAAACTATTCAAAAATGCAACAGTCTTTAAAATGTGTGTATATAATGTATCTTACATAATACAGGTAAATACATTAATCTCTAGTAATGGAATATTATAAATAAATGTGCAACAGTTCTTAGAAGAACTGTCCATTGTTCACACTAGCTGAAATTATAAAAAACTGTTAAGGTTGATATATGAATTGATTAGTTACTTTCATCATTCCCCTGACTCACTCTCCTCACAAAAGATAATACATAAGCTTTCAACATCGAAAAATTACTCCAAATAATAACTTAGAACAGAAATCGCTAAATAGTTAAAAGTTTAACAGTCATGGAGGACAATTTGTTACCAGTAAAAATAAGTACCATTTCCTGAAGGCCACGTGCCAAGCACCGTTTTAAGAGCTTTATATAAATTGCAATGGCACTTAAAATAGATATTACTAATACCTCCACTTAGAAAAAGGAAATTTGAGGTACAGGGAGATAAAATATAGTCCTCTGGTAATTAGTAATTACACAGCCAGGCTCTGAGACCACATGTTTTATTTTAGGATATTACAAAGTCACTTCAAGAAAATGTTTTTCTTTCAGGGTATTAGTCCACTCTTTTAACTATCCTGCAATAACACAACTCCATTTTTGCCATGCATATGGCAACAACTCCCTTGCACAATGATGCTTGGAATAATTCTCTTGTATGCTGTCAAGAGTTGTCACTTGAATTGGTTTAATAAAATGCTGATTGGCCAGTAACCAGGCAGTGTAGGCAGGGTGACCAAACTAAGAATGCTGGGAAGAGGAAGGCCCAGTCAGACCCAAAGGAAGCAAGATGAGAATGCCACACTGAGAAAAGGTACAAACCACGTGGCTAAACACAGTAAGAATTATGGCTTAATTTAAGTGTAAGAGCTAGTTAGTAATAAACCTGAGCTACCGGCCAAGCATTTTATACGTAATATTAAGCCTCAAAGTCAATTATTTAAGAAGTGGCTGCCAGGTATTTAAGAATAGGCAGGCAGGAGAAAAACTTCTGCTTACACAATGAAGCAACACCACTTTTTAATGTGCATTAAAAAGTTTAGAGCCGGGTGTGGTGGCACACGCCTTTAATCCCAGCACTGCAGAGGCAGAGGCGGGCAGAACTCTGTGAGTTCAAGGCCAGCCTTGTCTACAGAGTTAGTTCCAGGACAGCCAAAGACAGATAGACACAGAAACCCGGCCTCGAGAAGCCAAAAAACAAAAAAGAAAGAAAAGTTTGCAGTTTACTCTGCAAACATCTGAACATCTGCAGCTGTGACAAAAGAAATCTTGCAAAGTAATGACAAAGGTAATTCTTTTTACAGAGCTTCTGCATCCAGGAAGTTCCTTAAAGATACAATAGTGCCATGCTAGTAGCAGCTGCAGTGAACAGTTTCAATGAGATGCGAACCAGCGGCCGTTCAGACACAGGGAAGGTTACGACACTTTTCTCAGTGGGAACTTACCCCCGTTATCTGCCCCCCAGCCAGCATGAGCTGGGTCTGGGGGATGGCGGACTGCACGGGAGGCGGCGGCTGCTGCTGCTGCTGCGAAGGCTGGCTTGGCTGCTGCGGGTCCCCCGAGTCTTCACTAGATTTGGACTGCAGTGGGGTTGGATAGGAAAGAAAGAAATAGGTGATTAAAAGAAATGTACTTCTAACTCTAAAAATGCAAGAATTATTTAAAATATGTACTGTTCAATTCTGAGTTTGGGGGCTTTCTCTTTTTCCTCTCTTACCTGTCTTTTCTTTCTACTTATGCACTCTTACAAGTTTTTTATTCTAATCTCAGAAAAGTTGCAATTATAAATGTTTAAAAGAAAAACTAAATCGGTCCACAAATCAACAAACCTTTCACAACCTCAAATCCCCAATTCAGGCAATGAAGAGAAAAGGAAATTATTAGACTCTTCAAACTAACACTCTGACATATACCTTGTGGCCAAGTCTCAAATTTCCTCATACTATCTTACAGTTCAATTACTTGACCCACAGAACTTTTAATCTACTATTTTAAAAGAAATCTAAATGCAGCATCTTCCACCAAGTAATGTACAAGCTTGAAGGAAAATGATATAGTCAAGAATTTACATGCCTTAAAGGGCCAGAGAGAAAAATTTTTATGGTAATTAAAACTGGTTATACAGAGTATTAAAATTCTGCATAGATTTGCATATTTTCCACCACCTGTTTGGGAGACTGCAGCAAAGCTAATTAACATAAAAGCTCTGATTAATTCTGCCAGTCATTGAAAGATAATTACAGTGCAGGACTGTAAACATTCTGCACTGGAGATATAGCCTGTTTGCCAACATCTCTCTAAGGGATGTTAAGTTTACCATGGCAACCAAGGCAATTTTCTGCCTCCTCTCCCTCAGAAAGGAGGGTCACATTATCTCCTTTTCTCTCCTTGTTTCCATGAGTTACTAGGTCCATATTCCACGAGGTTTCCTAGAATGTTCGATCCAAAATCTTTAGTCTTTAGCAGCACTGAAATCAATCTTCTAGAACACTATTTTTCCCTCCTGATTGTTTCCTAAACACTACAATGAAAGGCTGACGGAAATGTTAGAGTTGTGCAAAATACTTGAGCCTTGAATCTTCTGTCTGATGGTTTTATAATTTTGACTATCTGACCAACAATGTCTTGCTTATTTTTTTTAAATAAAAATTTATTATTATTTTAAATTGTGTGTGGTATGTCTGTCTGTCTGTCTATCTGTCTGTGTGCATGTGCACATGTGTGTAGAAGAGGGTGTCAGATGTCCTGGAGTTGTAGTCACATATGGTTCTGAGAGTCCTGATATGGGAACTAAACTGGAATCTTCTGTAATTCTTAATCACCAGGCGATGACTCCAGTGCCCTTTAATGTTACTTCTATTTAGATGAGAGAAGAGCACTTACAATGCTACCAATGTCTTTATTTAAATACAGGTAAGCAAAAGTGAGTCCCAGGAGGCGGTGACTTGCCAAAGGTCATACACCTAGTTACTGGTACAATGAGACTTTGAAACCCAAATTTCTCAATTCTCTGTCCAATGTTTCATGAAAAATGATAAACAGTCTAAGAAAAAGAAGGATACTTAAGAAGCTATTTGATTTTGTGTTCAGTATGTGTTTCTGAACTTCATTCTAAAATTTTGATAGTGAACTTCATTTGTCTACCTCTGGCTCACATACAGTAGCAGATTAAGGTGATTTTCATTAATGACAATTATTACCATCTGGATTCAGCAATAAAAATATAGCAATAATAAAATTAATAAGTAGTAACAATCCCAAGTAGTTCCTATTCTAAATTATGTGCTCATTACAGGAAATTATGGAAAAATTAATAGAAGCACCTATGTGCTCATATTCCAACTTACCTGAATGTTTAAAGATTGAGCAGCAGCCTGTAAACTTGTCCCAGCGAGCTGGACCTAGGTGGAAAGTAATCAACGGACATAATAATCTAAAACATTGTCATTCATCACTGGAGGGTGTCATCAAGAAACATTTCAAATACTAAGTGTATACCACTGTGTTAGAACTGAACATACAAATATATATTTTACGAAGTTAAAACTTCCCATATAAGCTCACAGTTCCCCACACCCTAACTGAAAACTGCAGAAATTTCTTCTAAATTAGCATCATCACTAAATGAGCACTATCAGGTAAGCTACACTGGCACTGGATAGGTGCTTCTCATTTAAAATTCTATTTGCAGTCATAGTCCGCCTAGGTTCTCAAAACCTAACATACCTTTCATATTGTTTTAAAGAACACATAAAAACCATCAACATGTACTTTTTTTTTTTATCATTATAAATGAAAAAACTAGTTAAGAGAATCTATCCTATAAGCCATATAGGAAAAATTTGTCTTAATATTTAATATTCATACTTCAAATCCTAGTCATATTAAAGTAAGGACACACATGCAATTAGAAAGTCATCATTGGTAACCGTGAGAGCAACCTGATTTAGCAAAGGGTCGTTAACAGATCATCTAACTAATGGGCAGAACAAGAGTAAGATACTTCTCCACAGATGCTGAGAATTACAAAGGGCCCAATAGCGACTTCACAGGGAGGGCTACCTGGCAAGCAAATGATCAGGCTGAACAATTAATGCTACCAGTAATGAGAAACACTGTGAAGACTGTATTTCTTATGTTGCAATCTTACCAAAAATGGATAACCTGAATCTAAAAATAAAATCTAATCACGACAAGAAAGCAGACAAGCTCAAATTGAGGAACTTCCTGATTTGTACTCTTAAAAAATGTCAAGTTTTGC